CTCTGATGACGCGCCTACACTCATTTACTCTGAACTCATCCCAAGTGCCTTTCTTTCGAAGGTTTTCCCATTCCTTGTCAAGGGCAGCTTGGGCCTTTGGCGTATTGGCTACTTCGGCTTTTGGCACGAGCCTAGCAACGACTGCACTGAACAGTTCAAGAGCAACATCAAATTCAACTTTCTTGATTCGCTCTTTGACCAACTCACGCAATTGCGGGCGATGCGGCTCCTTTGATGACTTGTCCCGTTCCGGAAGAACGGACATCGCAGGCGCGTGCCGGATCACAGGCAATGTCGGCTCGCCCTCGCGGGCGGCGCTGGTCGGCTTTGCACTCGATGCGGCTTCGGGGTGCTCGGATCTGGCCTCCGATGAGACTGCTGTCTCGAGCACAGCCTTCTTGGCATCTGCACGGAGCTGATCTTCATACTGCTGGGTTAGGGCCTTTCGGTCCTGGCTGCCGAGCATGACCCACATGTCGGACGGGATATCGGGAGGCCTTTTGGATCCAGCCTTCCTACGGACGAGCCGAACCCCATCCCACACATAGCCATCGGGTACAGGTGACCCATCAGGCATTATGCTTGGGTCGAATGCACCGCCTTTGTCAGGCACGACAGGTTTGATTTTCGCTTCGGATTTCTCCGATGCGGCGGGTTCCTCGATGTGGGCTTGCCCACGCTCCAACGGCACCGGATCATCTCGTGTCTTAGCATTGGCAACAGGTGGATGAGATGCAGGGTCTTTCAACAACCTCATCGGGAAGATGAACTCATCAGTCGGAAGCTCAATGCGCTTTGTTCGCTGTACCGTGAGGGACGCATGTTCGATATGGTAATCGAGCCCTTCTAGTTTTGCAACAAGGAACTCGCCTTTCCATGCGAACCCAGGCTGAATGTGGTACCCGAGAAACACGCCTTCATTTGATGTTGGCGAAGTCTTGCCTGCCTGATTGTCAGCTCGTGCAGGGTTGTTCCAGAACAGTACCTTTGCTCCAAAAGGTATCTCAGCTTCATCAAAGGTCTTGTGAAACCTGAGGTACCATGGCGAATCGTTTCCATTCAACTGTGGCAGGATGTTGGTCGCAACTGCATTGTGCTGGATAGCAAATGGCCACATCGACAGTGGGAACCCTGACTGAACAAGGTTCGCACGTGCTCCCTCCAACAGATGTCTGATTTCCCTTTCCACGAAAGATTTGGAAGAATCAACATATTCAATGGAGGTCTGATGATGGTACCCCAACTGCTCTATTGCGGCTTTCAATTCCCGGGAGTTATCGGTGTAGAGAACTTCAACCTCATCCCTACCGGAAATGAAATGCTGGACCCCTGCAACGGATTGCTCCGTGCTTTTGCTGGTCGATGGGTAAACGTACCTGAACTGCGTATGCACGTCCTTGATCACAAGAGCACACCATTCACCTTTGATACCTTGCTCAATGTTGGCCTTGAGAATCACATGATCAGCAATGATGTGATCTCCAAATGCTTTCGTCTCGAGCCTTCCCTGCCCGCCCTTCGATCTTGCATATGGAGCAAGCATCTTGGCACGTTGGAGTTCGGCAAAAGGGATTCTTCGGATAGTGTGCAAACAAGTGCTCTTTGGTACTTGCTTCGGCAACCAGATCTTGCTCTTTGCGGGATCTAACAAACCGCTCAACTTCGTCGTCGGGATCATCACCTTCGTCGATGCCTTCGTCATGAACCTGTGCAGGCGCTGGCTTGGATGCTGCTACTGCACCCAACGATGGCTCAGCTTCACAGCTGGAATCCATGTATGGCACATGACCATCAACCTTGAGCTGGATCAGAGCACCATCAGGGCGAACCATGGTTGGCGCCTTCCCGGATTCCCAATGGAAGGAATATCCTTGATCCAGACACTTCACACCCAGCGACAGCACTGCGGGAGAACTCTCGAGGATGTAAGGCTGAGCAGGCTCACACAATGCATCGACATTGATGTCGGCGATTTCGGAAGCAGTAATGTTTCCGTTTGCAGTCACAAGGCGAATAGGCTGAGGTGCCTGTTTCCGAATTGCCTTGGACGCATTCCTCAGTGCAGCTTTGCTGATGAGGTCCTGCTCACTACCGGAATCGATAAGCCACACGTCCTTTCCCTTTGGTGCAGGGGTGGCTGCCCTTGGCGCTTCGACATCCTTGCGAACATCGTGAGGCGGCATGGCAATTCCCAGGCACTCATCACACGATAGGCTTGAGATGGAATCGGATTCCACATCGCACATGAAACCACAAGCGGGCTGGGCTCCATTCTCAATGGCTTTGATTACGGCACTCAACTGGTTCGCGGCCTTGCGCGCTGCCTTATTAGTCCCTTTGGTCGGCCTAGGGCAGTCCTTAGCATTTGGAAACATCCTGTTATACTGCCGTTCCTCGTACTCAAGCTTGAAACCATCGCCTTCGGCGGGGATCTCATGCACATGAGCATTGGTGTCAAACGACACCCCAATGGGATTGATCGGCTTGGCAAACATGGCGTACCTAGTGCATACTGCGGCGGCCTTGACCTTGGGCTTAGGCTTAGGCGAATTTGCACGCTTCTTGGCCGCAGGATTTGCGTTGGCCTCGTTGCTCGATGCCGCAGCGGCAGATTTGCCGCCCGTGGAGGCATGGCTAAACTTGCATTTGTCACCTCTAGTGCACTTCCCTTGGGCAAAGAAAGAACACGGTGCTTTCTCTCCTTTACCGCCTTTGGGGGAACTTGGCCTGCCACGGGTCGCGGAGCGTCCTCGCGGCTCCTTGCGGTGCGCGTAAGGGCAGTTTGCCCCCCTCGTGCACGAGCCCTTCTGGAAGTCAAAGCAGTACTTTTCCTCGGTGTCCTTCGGCTTAGGGGGCTTAGGTGCGCTCTTTTTCTTGGGGTCCCTCTTTTCAGGGGCGGCGGCACCAGCCTTGGGCGTCGGGGCTTTACTAGCATTGACTTTGGACACGCGCTCTCGGTTCTCGCGAAGCCTATCCCTCTCGATCAGATCCCTCATGCGACGCATTAGGAAATCGTACGATTTGTTGGGATCATCATCGCGGCAACGATCATACGTGTCAATGTCGTACCGCAACAGATGGCAGCTTCTCACTTGGCGAAGCAAGATGTCTTTCAACACCTTTTCTTCCGGCGGCCTTTTCATGCCGGCGATCACGGAATCCCAAGCGTTTAGGAAACGTTTGAGATCAATGATTCCTTCGCCGTGTCGCGAGACACGCAACAGGTCCTCCAAGGAGTAGAGGTTTCCGGCTTCTTCACTGGTCTTGAAATATTGGTCAAACATAAACAAGACCTGCCTTCCTCTCATGGCCTTTCCCTCCTTGGCACATTCTTCCTTTGCTGTTAGGATTCGCTGAGCCAGATCGCCTTTCGCTGAACGCGTGAGCGCTGCGAGAATCTTCGTGTCTAGGGTCACGAATTTTCCCGGTTCGCCGAGCTCCTCCAACAGCTTCTTCTTGTCCTCGCGATCGGACCAGACTTCCATGATCCAAGGCCAAGCCTCGTCTGGACGGTCAGATGCTGCGCGGACGTCCTCACGAACCGATGTCTTCCATTCACGGTACGTTTCAGGAGTTGGCATCTCCTTGAATCGCAACGTCTCGCTTTCGCGGGTTCTGGGCTTTTCATCGTTCGTGTGGCCTTTTACTAACTTCATCAACATTTTGGCGAATGCTTCTTGGCCGAGGTTAGGCCCGAGGCCATCACCTTCGTCTTCATCACCATCGCCATCGCCATCGCCATCATCATCAGGTGGCGGACCGCCGGGAGGCTTACCACCCTGCTTGCGGTCAGTTGACATTGGCCCCTGAGAGAACTGCAGGGGTGGGACCGGTGCACTTGTTTTTACCGGGGATCGGCTGCTGCCTGATGGCTTTTCAGCTGGTCCTTGCGGATCGCGAGCGTCTGCGGGCAGTGCTTCGCATTCGGCAGTTGGAATCACGCTAGGGGTGTATTCATCCCCATAACCGTCATAGGTAACAAGCGACCTCAACTTTTCCTTTGCATATTGAAACGGATGGGTCAACGGGTCCAACATTGACCTTTGGGACCGAGCTGACTTCATGTCGTCGGTCATCAACTCTGGTGAATCCTCTCGGGTATCACCTACCCCTTTGGGCTTCGATCCATCCTCGCGGAGGTCGGGTTGCTTCTGATACTTCTTCAGCTCATCGAGCTCGTCCTGCAGAAGCCCGTTTTGGTGGGCCATCATATCAATCGTCCTGGCGTTTTTCGCTTCAACACGGGCTGTGTCATCGGCGTGCTTGGCAGCTTGCTCATGAAGGAGCTGCTGGGCTTCCGCCAGGGTGGATTCGATGGCTTGCCTAAACTCAGTTGTTTTGTGTCCCATTTCCGCTTCATGCAATGCTTGGGCATTTTCCTCACACACTTGGCTTATCCTAGCTTCAGCGAAGTTCACTTCTTGAATGAACTCATCGCTCACTCGCTGTTCGTATTCACGAATTCTATGCGACTGGGCTTGCACACATTCAGCGTAGTGTGCATGCAGCTGATTCTGTGCGACACGGAGCTCCTCACGGCTTTCCGCTTGCAAATGCGTGACAGCTGCTTGATGCAGGGCTTCGGCTTCAGACCTAATGGCTGCATCATTCCCAAAAGCAAAGATTGCGGTATTGTACAGTTGGAGGGAATTCATCAGGGTGCGGTTGTACTGCGCATTAGCGCTTGATGCGAACATTCGCACACCGCCGCCGGTGTTGTCGGAGCTAGCTCCGGCAGCATCCACAGGCATGTTCCATCAACTGGCACAAGGGAACCGTCCATTGCTTAGAGCTAGGGGCCTACGGCTGATAACCTATAGATTCAAGGGTTACCGGTTTGGGGCCCAAAAGGAAACAACAAACCGTCCAAGTGCGCTGCTCGCACATTTTTACGCTTGAACAGCCACACTGCGGATGCAATGGATGTAAAACCCCATATTGACCGATCAAATTCTTCACGTTCCCACCGCGAGCTAGCGACGGTCGATCTCCGCTCCGGCCTCCAAGGACGCTTCCAGCTCCAAGCGCTGGGGAGTCACGCGGTGCAGCAGATACGCCCTCACCTCGTCCTCCGAGAGGCCTCGGTCCTGGAGCTGGCGATCTCATTGGCTTTTTAATCCCTCCTTTGTGGCCATTGGTATTGTGGGCTGCCCTCAGATTCCCCTCTAAAAGTTTAGGTTTTCGTGGGTTAAATGGAGACTACCACTAAACACTAAAACGCTAAAAAGCTAAGGGGATGGCTGGGGCTTGGCCCCGAAGCGCCACCAAAAACACTGAGGCTGGAGTTGATGTAGGCCTCCGTTAGCTGGCATGAACTCAACCAGGCCAACAGGGAGCCAAACAACCTCAGGCTTGTCTGGAGATGTCTGGAGATGGGGGGCTACTCCCATTTTGCTCAAGTATGGGACGCCTCCGACAAGCAGTCATTGATACTGGACGAGCCAGCAACGTTGCTCGTGCATTCCCGAATCGAAGCTGGCTGCCAGGATTAGTGGCTTGCAAGGGGTGGCACAATTTCCTTGTTGAATTGCAACACCTTCTCAGCCATCGTTCCACGTGCTCCACTCAGGATTCTGCTGCAATAGGGTCGCATGCAGCTCCCTGTATAGTTTTAGTTCCTGCTTCTGCGAACCCTACCCTACTTGTAGGTAGCAAAATCATTGGACAGTGATTGGTGTTGGATTGTTTGCCAGCTGGTTGATGCTTCACACAAGTACTACTTCTACGCACGTGTACTGACATATGCTGAAATGTTGTGCCCCATGCTGCATGTTTCACAAGCTGGACGGTCTGGCCACTGAGAAAAACCAGAGAAAAACGGAGCCGAGCACCTTGCCCCCGTTCCAATTGCGCAATTGTAGTCATTGGTCATTGGTGCTTTATATTGCTCACGAAGCTTCTCTTGCAATTCTTGCCCCGCGCCATAGCCGCGCCTCGCGGTCGCCGGAGGGCTGCTCGAAGGCGCGGCCCACCTGGAGACACCGCGGCTCACTTTCTGCGGCCCGTGGTGCCAAGTCGTGGCCATGATCTTGGCAGAGCTCTCACTATACCAAGGTCACCTCTTTTTCAGCTATTGGTATATGTATCGTGCCTCATGATTTGGACTTCAAGAGAGCTTTGGGAGATCTGACTCAACTTTGGCAGGCGCAAGCCCTGGTTGCACTGAAGGCATGAAGTCACTCCAGGCACAAGTGCTTCTCAACTGAGCTCACGGCATGCTCTGACGACAACCTGGGAGCACGGCTGAGTGCCATAGCAGTATGAACGCGCCAGCTGGTGCAGTCAACACGGCAGTATTACTATTATATCAGTGGCATCTTATGAATTAAAACGGTTTCGCATGACAATGCGAAATGCATCATGTATCATCTTTTGCGGTCACAGCAATCTCTTGTCGTGGGTAAACCTTCTTGTCAAAAAAAGTGTGTCTCACAGGGGTTGCATTTCACAAGCAAACAAACAAGGAGCCGCGTTCGGCATTGACGAGCCAAGTTGCCACAGCATGAGCCAGTCGCACATAATTGGCTTCACCTCGGCCCGCAGCCCGATTGTCAACTTAACAATGTCAGCTTTGCACATCAAAGCTGACTAGCAGCGCCTGTTTGACAGGTTGGTCTAGCATTTCTGTGTGCAATGTCAGAAACGAGGATGTACTCTTTCAAGATCCCGCTTTTTGCAGGAATGCTCTCCACAGTTCGCAGGGCCCCCAAACCCATTGACGTTCGGCTCTACAGTCAGGGCTGCACACAGGTTTCCATAGGCCTTATTACTATAACAATGCAGCAACCCACCTACACACAGGGTCAGCTAGGGTTTGGGCGATGCTCAGGTGAAATTGCACAACATGATGCAACATGCCTCCTTGTGGTAGAACTCCTCGCTCAGCAGGATAAGGTGCGGGTTGCACTGCAAGTAGCGTCGCTCGCAGCCACTGCGAATAATCTCTCCCAGGGTTTGGAGAATCCTTGGCGGTTTCCCGTCTTTTGCCCGGACAGCGCATCGACAACCAGCCTCCCTTTCTCTGGCGAACTATGATTATTCGGCACCAGATTAATTATGCAACTCCAAGTTCCAGAGAAACTCTACGACCTAAGATTTGACGCTTCAACCCTTCAAGTCTTGAGCCAAATCAGCTGCCCAAAAACCTAAATCCCCGCCGTTGTTTGAGAGAACCTCCGGATCCGCTTGCAGCTAGCACTTGTGGCGGTAAGAACTGCCGTCCAAACAATGGGCCAGTGGATCTACTCAAATCCACCGGGTGCTTCGCGCAAAGGGGTGGACTCCTCAATGCACTAGTGGATACGTTGGTAGGCCACCCGCCTCCCCCCCCGCAAAAAAATAAAACATAATAAATACAATTACAAAAATCATCAAGGACTGTGAGCCTCTAGAGCTGTGGCCTTCTCAGCCCAGCAGCTCCTTGGCCCGCAGGGAGTCCTTGAGGTGGGGCGGCACGCGGCCCTTCTCCACGCTGAAGAAGCCGTCCAGCAAATGCAGCACAGCCCGCCACCGCTCCGGCGCGTGCTCGATGAGGTTCTTGGGCCCGATGGGGAAATTCCTGAGATGGCAGCTGGAGGGCTGGTGTCTGAGGGATCAATTGCGTGCACGTTGAGAAGAGGGCACCGCCACAAAATCGCGACTTCTTCCGACGAACAAAACAACGAGATATCAACAGCTAAAACGTGGCTGAGGCCAAGTGAGATTCAGCTCCGAGCGCAGCGGGTGAAGCACCAAATCCACTTCATCGATCATGCCTTACGCGAAACAAACCGACCCCGCAACCACGGCAAAGTGAAGCGCACAATTTGACAACATGAGGGCTACTGGATGTTTACAAAAGATCTTCTGCGAGCCAAAGGGGCAAACACCTTCCTTCATCAACTGCAGCGCTCTGCCCATCTGCACGCATTCACGCCTGAACAGCCCGGTCAGCACTCGCTTCAAACATCTCGGACAAGATGAGCCAATCAAGTTGCAAGACTGCAGAGACAGAAATTCGAGCAATCATGCGGTTGAAGCTCAAGTTTTCCCCTGCAAGTTTGCGTGTTCATGCTTCTGCCAGCTGCTAAAATGCAGTGCCATGCCTCATCTGCGTGGTGTTGCGGCGTGCTTGTCGATCGTTGGCCAAGTCCAGTTGCTCCAAAAACCGCAGCTCTAATGACTTGACGTCCCCGGGCGTCGTAAGCAGGATGTCGCCTCGACTCAAGTTATTGCTGCTGGGTGGCTACAAGTCAACAATGTTTGCAGCAAGGTACTGCTGCATTCCCGGCCCCCCTCGCGCTTGGAGAGGGCAGCAAGACTTTTTGGAACTTGGGCCAGAAGGGCAAGCATTTGCGGCAGCTTGTGCTAGGCCATTCTTGGCCTGGTCATGTGTTGAGACCAGCGGCCATGGCTGACGATGCGGCCGAGACGTTCAGACAGTGCCACCTCCAAGTCCAGGGATCGATCGCACTTGAAGGTGGACACGCGCTTCTGCACCACCGTGGAGAAGCAGTTCCTCAGGCCGACAGCTTTCAGGTACAGGTGGTCAGGTGGTGCACATCTTGTCACGCACTTCCAGCTGTGCAACTGGCCCCTTGGAACTAGGACGTTCAGCTGAAATGCCACAAGGAATGCGAGTTTGAGTCTGAGTCAGGCTGAGGACTGCATCGCATACTGCTAGGCGAGCCTCTGCAAGACAGACCGTGACAAGCTGATCAAAGCAGGAGGCACCACCAGGCAGACGATACGGCTGCCATTTGCGTGCATCAGCGCAAGCCTCAGCTACTGGCAAAGAGCAAGGACCTGACACGCGTTGCAGCTGCATTCCAAGTGGCAGTGGGGACACCACGGAGGTCTTCCCAGCACCCATAATCATCTGCTTGACGCTTGATTTGCCTGCAGTTCAAGCCGCCAGACAAACAACTTGTGCGCAGCGAATTGACATAAAGCGAGCACTATTATGTGCATTCGCCTGATCGCAAGGCGTCTGAGAATTCGTTCACCATCTCAACCTGCAAAGTGAGGTGCAAGCAAAACACAAGCCGCGCAGACTACGCAACCCACATGCTGTCGAGGCCTGGCGGGGCCGCAGCAAGAAGCCGGTCACGAATTCAAAGACCAGGTAGTGCGGATCAAAAATGCCTTTGAAGCCTGCGGCTTAAGCAGCGACCAGCCAAGTACCAAAAACAACCCACCCCACCTCCATCAGCACTGGCCGCCTTCTGAACGTAGGTGCGCTTGGATGCCAAAAGGCCGCAAAGCACATTGGCCTGCAACATCTGCGAACCGCCACCCTGTGTTTCTCTTTTCTCGCTGCATCTCGAATCTGGAAATCAAATGACAAATTGAAACAGTAGAACTGGCCCATGCATCAACTAGGAGGACAGTTGAACACATAAGTCCACCTTGGGGCAAGCGGAGGCGAGCAGTATTGTTGCAGTAATCTTGTGGCGGCGGCTGTCTGGTTCTCTCATGTGATCATTTTGCTAGTCGGTAGTTGTAGTTTCGTGTCTGTTTGTCTGTAAGGCGCTTCTCGTGTTTGCCCATTATCGGTGTTGCTGACTCTCTGTTGACCCTGGCCGTCAGTGACGTACCACGCTCGCCTTCTCCCCCAAGCCGGCAGCCAGCGCCAGTGAGGAGCCGGCAGCTTCCGGGTTTGCCAGGAGGTCTGCCAGGTCCTCATGCTGGTGCGGCCACCACGCGTCATTGCGCCGTTTCTTCTGTTGCAGAAACGCGACATGCAGTGATCCATGACACGCCGAGGCTGGAAGCTCATGCTGACTCACGCTTGGAGGGAAGATATGAGAACGACGTCCAACCCCTCCCCCAACAATGTGTCCTGACAGCTGTCCAAAGCGCGGCAAGTCCTTACTGCATTGACGCAGGCAGCGCTGTTTTGGTTCTGTGATGTTGCATGGCTTATTCTGCTACAAGCACTTCTTCTGCCCCTGCCACTACAGTGCCTGCCACACCGCTCGATTCCAAAAGGACCGATTGGAAACCAATTGGCGCCAACACCAAGTCCTGTGTACAATTTGAAACGGACACATCTAGTGCAAGCAGGCCACTGTATGATGCGGCCTGCAACCAACATCATCTGGGTCAAGCGGCTCAGCAAACCTGCACATGCAAAGTACTGTCTGGCCATAGAAACGTCGTGGCATGGGGATGCGCTTGCCCTGACGGGAGCTGCGAGATTGACTCCAATTGAGGTTGGTCGGTGATGCAGCCCTGCTTAATGTTGACCAAGATTTAGCCGACCACGCTGGAAGCGGAGAATACAATACTGTACGAACTGGTTTTGAATTAACACAATGAAGACCGCATTGAATAAGATAATTACATCTCTGGGACGGGCATTGCAAGATCAAGTGGATATCTGGCTCGTTTACTCAACCCTGCGAAGCAAGAGCCATTAAAAGTGAAAGGCACACCACAAAATGTCTTGCCTGCAGCTGCATCGGCGCTGAGGAAGGGGTTCAGCTGGGTGAAATCCCTCTCCGCTTGTGGGCTCAAAAGGCCACAGCAAAGGTGCTCGAACCATAGCGTAGCCTCCAGGTCAGCATAGCCTGAGACTGCCATGCTTGATTCGGATTGTCACCGGTTTGCCAATCAGAAAGCTGCGAATAGACGTTTGCAACGAGGGCCTCATTCCAGTCCTTGCGTGTTGTGGCTGCAGCCCATGAGAAAGGCAGCAAAGTGGCGGAGCAGCCAGAAGCGAAGGCGGTCTCGAAGAGGCGAGCCAGACTCCAGGCTCAAATCGATGTTGTTGGCATCACCGAAGGATTTGTCGATTGCCATGGCCTCAAGATGGCGAGCCTTCTCAGTGAACTTGGTCTGTCTTCAAGAGTCAAAAGGGCCACTAGCTAAAGCAAGGAGCCACGAACTCCTCATCCTTGGCTTTCAGGGCCAGCAACTCCTCCCGAAGCTTGTTCATCTGCTTCCTGGCCTGCACGCTTCGCAAGCTGTAGACATTATTGGAGCGAATTGGTTGGAAAGCCAAAGCTGTCATCCCTGCTGAAGGTTCGGGAACTTTAGCAAGTCAGCTCCATGATTTCTTTCCATTTGCGTTGTTACTTGCCACGCGTGTCTTGGTTGGGGAACCCTTTGATGCGGATACGAACCAAATTTGTGGCACACCGCTTCGAATTGCTGGTCCTTTGCCGGCCTCTTCCAACGCCGACATGTCGCCGTCTGCGATGGCCTAACAGCCAAAGTGCGACGCCGAATCCCGAGCTGAAAATAGAAAGCACGAACGAGTGTCACAAGCCAAAACAAAACATGCCCCAGCGTTTGCCAAAACTTGTTGGCTTACAGGTGGCAGCATTCGCTCCGAATGGCGCGCGGCTGTGATCATGTGCGGCCGCAGATAAATTTCACAAGCACGCTACACTTCCAAAGGCTGGCATATGACTGCAAAGGAAATGCAGGGAGGCGCAGGCCTTCACCTTGGCGGTCTGCAGCGAAGTCAAGGCAGGCTTCTGGCGAGCATTGCGCATTTGGGCGCATAGCTTGACTTCCCGATCCAAGCGGGAGAGCATGCTGATGGCCTAAATCCAAAGCATCACCACCATGGTTACGTCAACCACATGGCATGCAAGCACTTGACTCAGGCTAGTGCAACCCGATGCTTTGCGGTGGGGTGGTTAGACAGGTCGAAGGGCATCTCCCTCAGTGCGGCAAAGCAACTACAACAAAGTTGATGGCGGCCAGACTCATTGCGCGTCATGACGCGTCATCACATTTCAGTCGCATGTGCATTTATCTGCAAGAATGCATGCTTCGCTTCTGATGCCTAGAATTGCACCGTATTCCGTCAGACCAGCATGCCCCAATTTCGGCAAGCTTCTCAGCCAGCAAGCTGCTTGGAGGCGACTCCACCAAATGCGCGCGGGCGATGTGGCCCAAGGGAGTGGTCGCCAATGCTTCGGCTTCCTCGCTGCTCATGTCAGCCTGAGAAGCAGCACCAGTGCTACGTGCACGAACATTCAGCTGGATTCTCCGCATGGCTGGCCCGCCACATGGGTTCTCATATGGGTGCCGCCTGCCTTCAACTTCTGGAAACCGTGGCGTAGCACTATCCCCCAATGACAAAGGCACACCGGACGCTGGATGCTTGTGAGCAAAATACCGTAAAATACCACAAACAACAAGTACAAAGAAACAAATAGCGTGCCCGGATGCTGGATGCTTGTGAAGAAAACACTGCAATCAAGCACCAAGGGGCAGTTCCTTGGAGGGATCGCTCAGTGCAGTCCAGGACTGCCAGTGATGGAGAGCCCAGGATACATGCACCTTGGATAGTGTCTGTGCCAATGGGCAAACGGTTGTTTTAAACATAGCCCTGGCCCCTCTTGCAGGTGTCTCCAGTTGACACCGCCCAGGAGGTTCAGCGCATCTCATGGGGTTTGCCCCAAATCAAAGGCTCATGTCCCAATGGGCTTCTCCTGGAGGCTCCAGAACGCATTTGGCATTTGGCCCCCGCCTTCACGAGGCACTTCCGGTGCAAAAAGAAGGCGCGCGCACAGACCGCCTGCGCCAGAACGCGATCGCGCTTCCGAGAAACGTCATGACCGAGTTTCAAATGACGTCACTTCGCGTCACTTAGTCTGGAGGCACGAGTCAAACCACACACACACACTGGCACCATGCGGACTGGCGAAAGGAAACCATGAGTTGGCATTTCTGGCATCCAGTGCGAGAAGCTGCACCCCGGCCTTGGTTCTGCTTCAGCCGCTGCAGCCAGGCATTGTCCATCGGGGACTGCATCGGCCTCGGGAGCTCCTGCGCAGGGTGCGGCTCGAGCAACCACAGCCAATACTCACGGAGCCCCCCTCTGACATGACATGTGAGCATGCTCCATGTTCTAGCTGTGATTTGGTGAGTGTGCCCCATGTCATCCCTTTTGGGTGAATACTTACCATTGCCCGCATGGGTGCGTGCCCTTTTAAGGGCACCCTTTGTGTGAGGGAAACCAAAGGGAAACTCTTCTGGGAATTTCGGGAAGAAGCAACATGCCCACAAGTTTAACAAGCTACTCCAGGGCTACAATGGCTACACCAGCACACGGTGGCACGCTACGCCAGCTTGATGCATCACCCCCTCCTGGAAGGACTCAGGCGAAGGGGGCCACATGAGTCTCATGGCGTCAGCGGCTTGCACCACGAACTGGTGGATCTCCTTGACATATCGTGTGCAATCGGAACGTGCCTGCCGAAATCCCACTCATGCCTTGCAAGGCCCACATGCGACAACGGCTGCTCAAATCCGCCCCCCCCCCCCCCCCAAGCCGGGCCCAGCCCCCTCCCCCCCAACCCCAACCCAACCACCCCAATCCCCAACTCCACAAACCACAGAGTTGGGATCAGTTGACTATGCCTGAAACTCAAGCTAAGCAGCTGTGAGCTTGAGTTTCCACTGCCCAACCAGTCCTTGGCTGAACGCTCTTGCTATCCAGGCTCTCAATTTGCTCCGCAGGGTTAGGCGCAATTGGAGAACATCGGAAACATCACAATCGATCTCGGAACCGTATTACTCAATGTCTTATGCGGCTTTCCAACTTGAGGATACTTGAGGGGGGCGCAGCCTCGCAGCCAAGTAGCTCACCTTCTTTGGCTTTGTCAGCATTGGCATCGCTTCACCTATGCATGCCACTGCGCACAAAACTTAAAAAAACTTCATGACAACCCTCGATCCCCTTCCGTCCTGCTGCTATCGACGAGACAGGTCATCCGGCCTACCTCCCTACCGCAACTGCTCTGAGATGCGGCCAAGCTGCAAATGGCCGGGTTCTGTGCTAGAATGTGAAGCAGGGACGCCAGCACGCCGTGGTGGCGGCTTCCCGGCATCAGGTGAAGAAGCAGCGTGGAGTAGGTGTGCTGGTGCCTGGAATTCTTGGGCATCACTTCAAGCAACCCCCAGGAATGATTCCACAAAGTACCCTGACAACCCCACCATGAGCAGGAGTGTATAATTAAGCCCAGCACTTCGATATGTCCACTCGGAATGCACATATTCATAGCTCCCAGCCCCGCTCCACCAGGCTTCATTTCAAGCAAGCGAACTATTCAAAGCAAACGTTCTCCCAAACAAGCGCTGCCTGGTCGTGAGCGGCATTCCAACTGGCTCCCCACAATCTTTGCAACCCATGTTTCCTGACACTTCTCACTACCCCCGCAGGAAAGTGCCCGCATTGTATGCTTTCCCACGAGTTCCCGAGCCAAGCGACGAGGGCTGTGTCTCCTTGGCGCGGCTCAGGCGTGCCCCTGTGCTGCAGGTGAAGAGCGAGTAGAGGAAAGCCCAGGTCTTCGGTGCCTTGTGAAACTTTGGTCAAGTGACGACTTGCTTTATGTTTAGCGGGGGGTCTGTGGCCAAGTATGGCCGGGCGGCATATACATCTTTGCGTGTGTGTGTGTGTGTGTCTATTGCCTGTCGCTCTCTCGCTCTCTCTTTCAGTCCGTTCGTGCCTACATATGTGCGGCCTTGTGTGCGCGTATGTGTGTAAGCCCCCTCTTTTGTGTGTGTGTGTGTGTGTGCACGAGCGCGTGTGCGCATATGCAAGTGCGTGTGTTTTTTTTCTGCGTGCGCGTGCACGTGCGGGCCTGTGTGTCTATGAATTTATGTGTGTCTGGGTCTGCATCTGTGTCTTTGTCTGTGCCTGCGGGTGCGTGAGGGTGCGTGCCTGTGCGTGTGTGTGCCTAATTATGCGGGAGTTTGCATGACATGTACGTGCGCGATCCTGTGCGCATCTGCGCGCGTGGTTTTGCTTGCCCACGAGGGCTGGGGTGAGTGAGTACCCGGGTATGGGCGCATGGTGCGGGTGAGTGTTCATGTGTGACTTTGGTCAGGTGAAGGCCGTAATCAATGAGCAAACTTGGGTATCCAACTGAAAGCCTGCATTGATGCCAAGAACGCTTGCAATAAGTATCCAGCCGCCAACAACCCACCGAGGCAACTTCATTTAACAAAGCCTGGGCAGCCCTTAGCTTAAAATGGTCACTTGGGGAACCCGAGGAACCTTCCCGCAGCCAAGTGACGCTGCCATAGTCCTTCAAGGTCATCTTGCCCTGGACCATCTCAAAAGCTGTGTTGATGGCCATGGGAAAGGGCAGCCGCCTCATCATCGGAATTTCCTGAGTCATTTTGGCGGGAATTCAGCTGAGGGGAATGGCCCAACTAAGTTAACTACTGCTGCGTGGTGGGTGGAATATCTCGGCTTCGAGCCTCTGTTGGGGGGTGTCCAGCCCAAAACGCTGGCCAAGCTCAAACCTTTCCGCACGAATTCCCCGATGTGATTGAATTTCTCGTGAGTTGGGGATTTGAACTTCCAGGGGCTTGATAAGCTACCTGATTTCTAAACCAATCCAAGCCACCAGTTTCGCCGCGGCTAAACAATGGCGAGGGGAAACCACAGCCACAGCCCCGCAACACCATGCACATCTAAGGGGGTGGCAGTGGATCTGACATCGGCCGTTGCATGGCAAATCTGTATAAACAGAAGACGCTCAAAAAAATGTACAAGGGTAAAGCAAGGAACGCTGGCAATCTGGATCATTCTGGCAATGACAAAGTGGCGGGGAGAAACATACTTGATGCAAATGGGCATGAAAAAACAACAACACATGCCTCTCACAAAGGTCCAACCTCAAAGGACTGTCACAAGTAGGCACTGTAAAGCCTGATGGAGGTTTGAGCGCGGCCATTCTCGACATGCGATAAGGTCAGACAAGGCGGGCTTTGGGAGACTTTACAAGCTTCGCAAATCGCGCTGCGCACCTGTCTATCTGTCAACAGTTTGGAGCAACACCCGTACTCACCGGCAACATCCAAACTGCCAAGCCTCCTAAGGACGATTATGTCGCAGCTAAACAAACCTGTCCACGCAATGACCTGCGCTCCGCCAGCCCCAGCGTGCAAAAACGAATGCAGTAGAGTCTCTGGGCCCTCTTCCTCTTCGACGTCTCTGCGCAGCACCTTCTCTGCCCCCAGCACCTCCCACAGCAAATCGAAGAGCGAGCACAGTAGCACCTCAGGTTCCAATCCGCAGTCCTCTATCACCACAACGTACCTTGTGCAACATCTCACGGGGCCAAGGCGCATTCTGGTCTTGGTGCGTCTGCCACATGGATTCCCTTGCCTCAGCCAAACCAACATCTCGGCCACTGCCTGGGACCCGGCTGATCGGCGTGGCTTCCCCTCCGGAGTTCGGATTTGGAGAGAAACCGAGCTGCTCTGTGCGGGCAGTTGAGCAGGAGGGGCTCACCAGGGCGAGCACCATCTCGCCCCCCAAGGCGCTCGAGATACTTCCAACCTGGGGACGCCAACGGCAACAGACCATGTCGCTGGCAATGGTCAGCCTTTGCTTGAAGATCAAGGCCAAGCATAGCCACACGATTGGCTTCCAAGCAAAGCCAAACTGGTCATGGCCGGCCCCATAATCCAAGCAGCGGTTGTCCAGCGCCAGCTCCACGTCCGGCGCCACCTCGTAGTCTCCAAACACCTGCCATGCGGGGCACAACGTGCCTGGAGTCGAGGCTTGTTCCACGTCAGACAAATAGGGGATAGCCATTGATGCAACAAGTGTGAGTCCCTGCCCCCAATGGCCCCAGCTATGATGAAGTGGATCTAGGTCGCAAACCTCTACGCGCTTCCCACGCCTTTAAGGACATCGATCGGATCTCCTCTTTCGTCTGCGGCAGCTGGGAGGCCCTCATCTTGCCTCGCCCCAAGCAGCATGTGGGATGAACAGGGCCAACCGCCGGAATCACCTCGAGCCCGACAGGCTCCAATATGACTCGCGATAATGGGGAAAAAGGTCGCCTACAGGGACATGCGCCAGTATATGAATCTATGACTTCGCACGCGCACGTGCGCATGCTTGCTGTTCTTATGCTCGTACGCTTCGGGTGAAGGACAGCTCCTTGAATTTGAACAAATGTGCTTCAACAAATACAAACATCGATCTGTGCACTCTAAACTCTAAACCTTTGTTTTTGAATCTGCATTGAATGGCGTGCATGAGAGCCGCCGTGACTGCGCAGGTGCATGTATGTCTACAATGTATGTGTGGGTGCCTCTCTTCCTGTGTCTGGTTGTGTTGGTGCAATCATGAGAAGAACTCGATTTCACGGCCAGGACAATAGCATGCGACCAATCGCGAAAAACAACCACAACGAAAATAAGCAAAAGAACACTACCATAAGCAAATAAAGAAAAATAGAGAAAGCTCTAGAAGCAAACAGCGTGACATAAACGAAGCCTAAGAACCATAAGAAGCCCAATAATAAAGAAAGCTTCACAAGCAAAAAGAGGGGAATAAAGAAGCCTCCTCTGTTGCCCTCGCCTTTGCTTCTGAAGATTCTTCCAGTCCCCTCTATTTGCTTATCGTGGGATTCTGTTTGGGTTCTTCGCTTTCCTTGAGCTGGGCATGTGGGCGTTTGTCTCTTTTTTTGCGTGTGTGTGTGTGTGCGCGCGCAAGCATGTCCTTTGGCAAGCCTGTGTGCGTGCATTTTGCGCAAGTACATAAACACATCTCTGGATGTATTGCGCAACTTCGTCACATGGCAGCAACCCTTGGGTGCAGAACGACAATATGATCAGGCCACAATGGGATTCAATCAGCAGCACTGGCAACATCTGCTGGGTGTAAGCCTGACTGCACCCGTTACATAGTGCAGCTTGCCCATGTCATGCCACGCCGCGCAACAGCTGCCGGAGCCATTGTTCGATCTCCTGGGCCTCTTGGAAGTTGGCCAGCTTCCGCTCCTTTTCCTGAAAAGCGGCATGGCCCATGGCAGAGACACACGCGTGGCAACCTGCCAGAATCATCGCTGTGAAAAAACAAGCCCCCCCGAAACCGGGCAACACCCTTTTCAAAGGAAACGAAGGGACCCCTTGCCGTTTGCCAGGCGGAAGGGAGCCTTGCACAAACTACTGGTACACAATGATTCAAGTTGGCAAATGGTGTGCGTTTGAGTCTTCATCGGTGGACCTCGGTGGACCCTTCCTCAACAACCCAGCTCATTGGTCTCTTCTGAATGCCTGCTACCACCAATATCAGTAGAAAAGTAGCTCAAATTCTCTCATGGTTCAAGCAGTACCGAAGCAGCTTTCCCACTGCATGCGCATTCTACCTGCCACTTACATCCCTGCACTTCGCCGACTGGAAACTTGGCATCCCCACAATCTGAACATGCATCCATCCTCAGGATCCCGGTCTAACGGAAATCTCCGCTGTTCATGTTGTTCGGCCAAGGCTCACTCTCCAGTAGCTCCACGAAGCGCTTGATGCGAGCAGCGCCCCATTGTCCCCAAAAGCGCTGTCGCAGCACACCAACCTCCCAATGAACTAGATGGGGTTGCTTCCAAAGGGGCAGGCCCGAACCTTGTGGTTCCTTTGTGGCTTCCGCTGGAAAGACCCTTGAACAAAAACTAAACAAGGGCACCCCTTTCAAAAAGAAAATCAAGGCTTCCAGGCGAGCAGCACCAAAACAACAATATCAGGACCTCATTTCCCGAGGGGTTCAACACCTATTTGTGGCTTTCTGCTGACTGAGCCCCATCATAATTTCAGTTGAAACGCAGGCAACTACACGTACGGTGACAAACTAAGAGAGAGAAAGAGCGAGAGAGAACAAAAGGGAAAACAAAAAGAGAGAGAGAAAAGGCTCGGTTGATCCGAGCCCAAGTTCGTGAAGTAGCACATACTTTCATGATAAATCAAAGCAACTCATCGCTTTAAACATGGCATGTGGCTGGTTGTCAAAGTTTGGCTCGCAGTTTTGTAGCGCAAATCGCAATGCCGTGGGGGCCCGCTTTGTTGAATGAGAAACGTACAAATGACTGACAGCCGCACTGACACACGCCTTTCTTAGCTGCTTTGGGATGAACTATCTGGGTATGTGTTTTTTTGACGTGGCCGTGCCGGGAGGTTGGTATAAGGGGTATGGATCGCAGGTATGGTTCGGGGTATGGCTCGGGGGTATGATTCGGGGTATGGCTCGCGCGCCTCTGAACTCTTGCTTTGTGGCTTTGGACACTGCAAAGCTCCCGTGCGCTGGCGCTGGCACGCTTAGTTGCTACAAGCCAGCTTGGGGCGCTTGTGAGTGGCCTGAACTAGACAGCTGCCACTCTGCGTGAGTGGGTTAGCGAAAGCTGCTGCGCTAGGTGGAAGGCGCAGAGCCACTGCCTGAGGCGAACGTCATGGCCACCTCCACTTGGAGTTCAAGCTCACAGACCCAAGCAAGCGTTGCTTAAGGGGAAGCGCCGCTGCCCAGGCAGGCCCGCCACCCGCACCAGTCACGAACCAGCGTAAGGGCAAGACAGCATGACATCCTCAAACGGCAGCCGCTCAGAGGCTAGTGGGCCTCTCACAGGTGGTGCACCGTGTCGCGCTTGATACATCGCAGTAAGCCTTCCGAACCCACCTTCTGGCGAACTTCTGCGAAAAGAGCCGCGAGCTGGTTCCTGCAGTGCTTCTCTTTGAGTTTTGTGTCTTCTGAGGATTCGGGCGGCATAGCTTCGCTAGTACTGCCCAGTGCGCAAGAGGCTCTTGGCTGCAAATGGCAGCAGAAGGGTATGAATCGGGGTATGAATCGGGTATGAATCGGGGGTATGAATCGCGGGACAGATTTTTTTCGACCGGAAAGACACCAAGAGTACCCCAGGAGCACAAAGACAGCTTGTGTTTCACTGCGACAGTGGCCCAGGACAGACAACTGTTTCCACCGCGTCGGACAGACTGCAGGAAGCAAGCTCCAAGTTTCAAGCCCAGCAGCGGCACCCCCCACCACAGCGCCCTGCAAGTCCTAGCGTCTTACGTCAAGCTGCACCCCTCCGCCACAGCACCACGGATGCTACAGACAACTCTAGTACCAGGACATCCGCAGGATTGCTCTATAACTCCATCCATTGGCACTTTCCATTGAAATAGCAAGCCAAGACCGAGTGTCAAGGAACACCACTTGAAAGGAAATGGCCCTTCACGAGTAACCAGTGAGTGTGTGAGTGGACATGTCAACTGTACTTGGCCCCATGACATCAGAGCCCAACCATGCAAGCATCGCAGACTCAAGAATAGATCCAGGAACCACAAGTGAACCAGGTATTACCTCGGAGTCCCTACCCCCTGGCATCGGTCCACATGTCAAGCTCTCTAACACTGTTTCTTGACAAGACCCCCTTCTTCACTTGAAGTAAAACCCCTATAGCTTCCAGCTATCCATGCATCACATGCAAATGCCACAGTTCTTGCAAGTTTTTTGGTGTTTTTTTAAGGGGTATGACTCGGGGTGTGGCTCGGGGGTATGGTTCGGGGTATGATTCGGGGGTATGGCTCGCCCAAGCCCCACCTCCCACGAAGACTAAAGAACTGACACGGTAAAAAAACACAGACCCATCTGGATTCTCAGAGATGCTTTCAGGCTGGCTGTTTCCCATTAGCTTTGGCGGCATGGGACCCAGCCAAAATTTGAGTGGTCAAAGGAAAGCTTAACAAGTTACAGTACTGTCAGGCGGTCGGAACACTCTCGCAAAGGGTGTGGAGACGGGACCATCTGCGCACCCTCCTGGGGGCGACCTTCAACAACTCGTGTTTGCTTTGCAATTTTATTTCGCTCGCGCAGCTTGGCGTGGTCGAGAGTCGACCCTCGAGGGAGGGAGGAAGGGAGGGAGTCGTGACGCAACTTTTCGGACAGAACCAGGAACTGCACAGACGCTGCAATGAAAGATAAGCTTGTTCGCATACGCCCACCACACATTGCATATGCGCTTGCATTTTTACTTGCGCAGGGCCGCTGCTTCGGAAGCCAAAGCCATGACTCGGCCTTGCGCTGCTGTTGAATGACTTGCAAAAACCCTAGGGCCGGAGTGTGCCCATTGCGGGCCCTCTGCGCGCGTGCGCAGTTCCTTCCAAGGACCTGCACTTAAGCGCGGAGCGCGTCAGAAAGGCTTGCCCGGGCAATTGTCGGGGAATCGATGGGGTATCGACAGGGGGTTGTTGTCTGGCGCCTGCCGTGCACGCAAACAAAATTTGCGATGATCGCCTACAGCCAGGCAACACACACGATAGCATTCCAGGTCGAACATGGCAACTTTCGGTACAAGGGCAGTACACAAGTTACAGATTGAAAGCTGGTGTGTGTGTGTGGTCTGTAGGTGCGTGTGTGTGTGTGGGTGTATGTGTGTGTCTGTTCGCGTGACTGTGTGTGTGTGTCAATGTGTGTGTGTGTGCTTGTGTGTTTGTGTGTTTGTGTGTGCTTGTGTGTTTGTGTGTGTGTGTCCGTGTGTGTGTGTGTGTCTCTGTGTGTATGTGTGTATGTGTCTCTTTGTGTCTGTGTGTGTCTCTGTGTCTGTGTGTCTCTGCGTGTGTGTCTCCGTGTTTGTGTGTCTCTCTGTGTGTGTGTGTACGTGTGTCTCTGCGTGTGTGTGCCTCAGTCTGTGTGTCGTTGAGTGTGTGTGTGTGTCTCTGTGTCTCTGAGTCTCTGTGTCTCTGTGTCTCTGTGTCTCTGTCTCTCTGTGTCTCTGTGTCTCTGTGTGCGTGCGCGTGCGCGTGCGCGTGCGCGTGCGTGTGTGCGTGGGCGTGGGCGTGTTGCGTGTGCGTGGGCGTCGTGGGCGAGGGCGTGCGCGTGCGGGCGTGGGCGTTGGCGTTGGCGTGGGCGTGGGCGTGGGCGTAGGCGTGTGCGTGTGCGTGTGCATGTGCGGGGCGTGGGCGTGGGCGTGGGCGTGGGCGTGGGCGCGGGCGCGGGCGTGCGTGTGCGTGTGCGTGCGCGTGTGCATGTGCGAGCGCGTGGGCGTGTGCGTGCGCGCGTGAGCTCGCGCGTGCGTGTGCGTGTGGGCGTGTGGGCGTGTGGGCGTGTGGGCGTGCGGGTGTGGGGGTGTGGGGGTGTGGGGGTGTGGGGGTGTGGCTGTGTGGCTGTGTGTGTGCGTGTTTGTGCGGGCGCGCGCGCGCTTCAGCGTGCGATTGCGCGGGAGTGAGCGTGTGCATGCACGTCCGGGTGTGTATGATTGCGTGGTGCGCCACCTCGTGCATGACCTCCAAACTTAAGGCACAAAAGCGAGTGCGAGTGAATTCATGCATGGAGTACTGACACTGGGCTTGGTCACTTCCGCTCGTTAGCGCCCGGTGTTGCGCGCGCCCGTTCGCGCGCTTAGCGTGAAAGCCAACCGCAATTTGCTAGCACTGTACTCTCCATGACAACGATTTACAACCTGCGAAAAAACACTTGAGCAAGAAACTACATGATTGAAGCCCCCTATCATTCTCCAAGGGGCATGTAACAAACCAGAATACGCCTTTACAAAAGTGGTCTGTGACAATTCCGTCTTGCGTGACATGATTGAAATGTACTGGTAATTTCTAGTTTACGGCCTCATTCTCGATGATCTCGAGGCACTTGCGGATCTGCGTGCACAGTTGCAGCGCTCTGAGCTCGTCATCCTCGGACAAGCGCGACCTGCTGAGGGAGGCGTAGGCGGGGTTGTGCTGCTGTTTTACTTCCGCAGCATCATGATAATGACATG